TGATCCCGCATGTAGTGGTGACAGGGTCGATTTGTTCCTCCAGGAGAAACAGCTCACTAATAATCCTAATTAGCTATGCCCACACTTGTTCTTCCTGTGTTTAATGAATAATTCGAAATATTGCAGGAAGCACAGTTTGCTACTCAGCGACATCACCATATCCTGATTCACTTAGGATCAACCTTGTGCTACACTTGTATAAAAAGTGTAGCAGTGGCTAATTGCACTTCCCTTTGCAAAGAGTAAGTTTGTTGCAGTATAGTCAGTGTGAAACAAATTAAAAGGGATAGAATGAAAAAAAAAAGGGGGTATGCAGAGATTTCAGAGACTTTTTTGTGATTATGTTTCCTTCCAAAGACACATCCTTTGGCAGAGTGCTCCATAGTACCATGTTGTATCTGCCTGCCCCTGGGAAACCAGCAGCTTTGCTGCCACAGGAATCCTCTACTTCTGACTTCCCCGTCTTCCTGTTCGAAAACACCTCTCAGAAAAGAAGTGATCTCCTGAACTCAAAAATTAAGCTCTTCAAAGTTACATACTTTTCCCAGGTAGCTTATGATAGTTGGCTTCAAATGGAGCTATGTTTTAAAGCTTTTTATTCTGGCTTGCACAGGTGCCACATAGCCATCAGAACAAAACCAACTTGTATTAGCTGGCTCTTGTATTCATCAAAATAAAGAAAAATGAAAATTTCACATCAGCTGTACTTATTCTTAGATAAACATTATACCACTTCTAGGAAGAAGTTTATTCTCTATATTATTAACTATTAACAGTCATATATTATGACTGTTACTGGAAGACTTTAAAAATAAACAGTAAAGCAAAACTAGGGAATTAAAAAAAAAATCCAAAAGTTTCTTATTTGCAAACGTTTATCTGCATTTATGAACAGTTTTAGCTTTAAATACATAATTCTGGAGGTTTCTGTTGACCAGACAGTAAAAGGAGTTAATCAAATATGAATCTTCTCCAACTGTCTTGTCAAACCAGGTAATGATGTCCTGCCAGCCAAACTCAGAGGGAACATGTGAAACAAATACAAAAGTAAACAGGCCTTAAGCTGCCCAAGGGAAAGTCAGCAAGATGGCAATTTCAATCATTTGGAATAATACTAAAGCAGCCTTAGGCTTTTCTCAGAATGGAAACATGTCACTGTTACTGCAATATTTCAACAAATCAGAAGGCAAAAGAAAGGAACACTTATGTAATCACAGCCATGGAACAGCACTTTGCTCAACACTGAGGTGGAAAATAATTAAGAGGAATTTCCTTTTTTTGTGAGCAATTGTACCTAAACAACAAAGACAAACAATGTTTCCTCATAAATTCTAGGAGTGAAAAAATTGAACAGACACAGATTCCTTTGGTTTTGATACAGGAGGCACTGAACAATGAAGAAGTTCTATCAAATAAAAAATTTGAACATAATGTTTCTCCAAAATTTTATCGAATGTTGACAAAAGTAACACTCTGAGCTACAAACAAAGCAAAAATACTTCAGAAGTGACTCTGCTGAAAAGTTGCATTAAGATAAATGGGTTGTCATATCATTTAACTGAGAAATCAAAAAATATTTCAAATATTTGGGGAACGTACCTAATCAGTAAACTTTCAGTATGTGTCTAGTCATGTAGCCATCTTTTAGTCAATCATCAGAAAATCAAAGGCAAATTGGCATGACTCAACCCAAACTTTAATACCGCATGATTGTGTCGTGTAAGCTTGTTTTGTGCGAGGGCTGCTGTGGTTTTAGCAGAGAGATTAACGACCGGACCTAAGCTGGCCTCCAAACCTTGCCCTGCTGATGCCTCAAGCCCTTTGAAGTCTGACCATCATACCTGGCAAAACAACAGTGGGAACTAGGCTGGTGTCAGATCTAATCAAGTTTCCTGCCTCAGCATAGCTAACTATGGGGTACACTAATTGGCCCAATTGCGGATTATACCTTTTGCTACAGATTCAAGACAATAATTTAGTCAAATGATGGTTTTTATCTCCTTCTAATTAAGATTCCAAAGTGGGAAGAAATAGGATTAGACAGGCTAACTTCAAAATTGTGTCCTTTAAAGTGGTATGCACATACGATAGGTCTCTGATAATATTGCATAGAATAATATATTGCTATTAACTAACATGAAGATCTGGGCAAGCATGATGTAGCTCCTGCACCTTTCACCAGAAGCATCTAAGTTTTCCTGGAAAAGGTCTACCTCATAATCTGAAAAGGGAAAACGAGTGCTCATAACTACTCACTAAATAGCACTGTCATTCTTAAATTGAAAAAAAAAAAAGACAAACCACCTTTAGAACACACTTCAATCAATTATATTTTGACAGAGATGGGAAAAAAAATGAAACAGTTAAATGATTCTGCAGATTATGAAGAGGTAGAATCCCTCCCACAAAAATGAAGTCTAATGAAACAATTTTGACATTTGAAGTTTGTTACTGATGGGGGCCAAACTGTAAAGAGGTACTTAACTGGTGAGCAATCCAGACATGAGAAAATCCATGTCCCATGCCCTCATTATAAACCGTAAAATAAGAAAGGTCTAGTGGTGAAGACCCTTGTTGGAGAAACCTTGCCATAAATAAGAGGTTGTGTATTTCTAACTTTTCTTGCATAATTTAATTTTCAAGTGGCATTTCAAATAGAGGTTACTATGATCACCCCAAATTGTGTATGCAACAAAGCAGCTGTTTTCCAAAAAAGTGTTATGTACTTAAAATGTATGTTGAATTCACGCTGAAGCTAGTAAGGAAGTCATAAACCCAGGCGCACTTTGTATAAGCCATCCTCTCTCCTGCTTGTACCACAGACGGTTGTGCCGCTTTATGCTTTTACCACCAGAACAAAACCGGCTGCTGACTCATCGCATTCTGACTGCAGAACCCAGCTTTAGAAGACTGTATTCACATCCCTTCTTAATTCAATTTGCCCTTGTTCCCATCTTCTTACAAACCTCATTGCTACAGTCAGCCTAGCTGTAGTCTGCCTCTCCTAACGTAAGGAAGAAAAACTTCTGGATTACAGATTAGCGAAACGTACAGGAAGATCCCACTAGGACAACGATCCCGCGTGTTTGAAAAGGAATAGTTTGTGTCAGTCTTAATTTCTATAAAGCATATCTCTTAACAGAAACTGAAAGGGGCTGCAGCTGAGCAACGATGACAGAAATTTTTCAAGTGGGTCATCCACGCATGTCTAAGGCTACAGGTTGTTCCAAGAGCTCCACTGCCCCCTTTTCCTACAGTTCTGGGCCATGGCTAATGAAATCTTTTTTTACAGAGCCTGGTTAGTGCTCCTCTTCCGCCCCGCCCCCCACCAAATTGCATTACAAATTAGAATCCCAAATTCTAACTGCAGACAGAAAAATGATATCCCGAGTCAGGATTTATACAGTAAGGAAAAAAACTAAATATTTTAATTCTCAGATGTAATAACTGTGAATTTCCTGTGCTGTGAAATGATGGGACATGCTTCTTTGCATTTCTGAAAACAGCAATAACATTTGTATTTTAAAACCTACCACAGGCTATTAAGGTTTTTGTTTCTAATGTGCCGCTTAAAAGCTGTTGTTAAAATGGCTTAATACCTCACAATGCCTGGCTGCATTAACCACTTTCTCTGGAAAATAAGAAACATGACAAATGAAGGTCTTTGGAGAAAAAAGCCTGCCTTCACATATTTGCCTTTAAGTGGCTTTTGAAGAGGATACCTCGACTTGAGAAACTTCTAGCACGCATGCAGGGCTGACCTGCTTGAGGAACTGGCTGCCTGATTAACTATTAACTACTCTCAATAGGATTAGATAATTAAAGACATTGATGACCATTAATTAGGAGGAGGGCACCTTAATTTGTCACTTGATAGGGCCCTTTCAATGATTTATAGGTTAGGGCTACTTGCAATTGTGAAGGGGAGGGGGCAGTGAAGAGAGAGAACCCTCAAGTTACCTTATCAAGTGGCCAGCTAAAAAGGGCAGAGGGTCAAATAAGGGCCAAAGTGGTCACTTAAGGGTGAAGTCCCAAACACCAAAGCAGTGCCAAGCCACATTGACCATAATTTGGTGATGGAGTAAAAAATATGCTAATTTATTGGTGGCAATTCTCTCTTTTTATGGTTTCAAGCAGTTAAGACAAGTGGCCTGCTTAAGAGCTTTTCATTTGAAAAGAGATTAAACAAAATGGTTTGTCAGGGATGCTTGGCTGTTTTATGTCTTTGTTAAAAAAAAATTTGCCCAGACTGTACCGATGACTATCACATCACCCCAAAAGCCATCTTCCATCTCTAAGCATTACTTGGTTAATAAATACATCAGCTCTAATTGCTTAATAGTGCTATGTTCATTTGTTCTTTAGCAAGATTAAAATGAAATACATCTTTTGTATTACTGCCTTCTATCAGGACTGTCTGCATAAAGGTCACAGAAAAAAGTTTAAATTTAGTAGGAAATTTACTTAAGGACATTAGTGTAAATGATACTGTGTTTAAAATGACATAAAAGAGCGAAAGGTGATTTCAGTAATGCAAAGAAAATGGTTTCTGAATACTGATAAGGACACTTATCCCTCATACCACACACAATTTTAGGCAGCATTATACATTAAAATCCCTCTACTGGGGTAATAACATGTAGCTACTTTCCCACCCACTAACACAAGTAAGAGCAAGTCATTAACATTTAATTAAATATGCTCCTGACATCCTTAGAAACATGTCACGCTTTGTTATTGAAGGTTGTGGCCTACTTTCTATGTACATTTTAAACCAAAATAAACTATTTATAACGGACCGATTTAGTGCGGCAAATGAGACATCTTCAATTAGAAGGCACACTACCATATTTTATAAAACCACTCGGAAAAGCAAAACCAACGCAATGCATTTACAACATCGGGTGCATATTTCCTGTAGTTCACAAAACGAAACATAAGAGATGGGATTAGCTCCACCTTTTGGGTTCGAAATAGTGAAACAAAACTGTTTCTCTTACCTCAATGGTGAACTGCTTCCTTTTTAATCTAAAAGCAAGGTCCTTCGTGTCTGACACATCACAGATCAAGCTATTAAGCCGAGGAATCTGATGTACATGAAGCAAACCTTGTGGAAAGAAAAAGTAAAGGAGGTGAAAAAAATAAGAAAACGCTGTCATCCAGATGCATAAATTAGAGTCTTACAGCAGAATTCTGTATATTTACACACACTCATCCTCCCCTTTTTAAACTGGAGCTTACTACCAGGAGCAATGAAGCAAACGGTGCGATTATACTCAAGTAATCAAGCAGAATAAGATAAACAGAAATCCTTGTGCGAGTAAAACTAATTGCACTTTGGTACAGAAGTACAGATGTAAAGAGGGATCTTAATACTTGTCAAAACTACAGCCGGTTTGTGTGTGATTTTCTCTTGTATTTACAGTAAGCAAATATGGCTATCACCTTGCATGCTGCCCACGGCACCACTGAGTGATCTTTATTTTATTAAATGCACCAGTAAGCAGCCAGCAAAACAAGGCTTATGGGTTACTGATAACCACTGAAGCTCTAATGAGCAGTACCGCGCCTGAAAGCGGCTTGGAAAAAAGTTTCTGGAAAACACCAATTCAGATCCCCATTTCTGATGAATTTTAACCCCTGTGCCATCCTAAGAGAGAGACATTTGCTTCCCGCGAGAGGTTGATGTAGCCGTTCAGATTTTTTCCCCAGTCCTAGGTGCACTGCAAGCTCTGCATTCTGTCACTTGCAGCTCAAGCTGATTTTTTCTGACAAGGACGCTGGATGGTTTTTGTGCAGCCTAATATAGTTTCTGAACAACCTAAGGGTGATTTTCTACATCTGAAAACCAGGAAAATTCTACAGGGTTTCTCGATTACTGGCCTATATTTGCTATTCATAAAGCCAGTGTCAAAATGGAAATACCGAACGTTTACAAAAGACATCTCCCTTGAAAACGGCAGCTGGGAGAAAGAAAACCCAAACACTAAAACCCTTATTTAAAATAAGGCAAGTATTTTTCAGGGGTTTCTTTCTTTTTTTTTCTACTTTTTTTTCTTTTTTTTTTCTTTTTCTATTTTTTATTCTTTTATTTATTTTTTTTTTTTTTTTTTTTTTTTTTTTAGAGTAAAGGGACAATAAGGGAAGAAATTTTCCTAAAATTTAAATACTTTAAAAAGCCTAATTTTTACAGGTACTAATAACAAAACTCCCAATATTATTACAAAGATATTTTTATATATTGAAGCCTCCTAACCCTTTCTCCAAAGATATATAAAAATATTTATTTTGGTTTTGAGTTCAAAATATAATTATTAGATATAATAACAGCAGGCATAACAAAGGGTTGCTTATACATATTATTTAAAAAATAATTAAGGACAATTTATATCATTTTTATTTTACTGATTCTTCAACCACCTACATTTTCAGGCATTTTAACAAAATTACTAATGCAGTATTCATTAAATATTGCAACAATTTAATCATTTTTTTCCTGAGTAATGTCAAAAACTTCCATCATCTGTAGTAAATAAATAATCTTGAAATATATTCATACACAAAAATTATCCACAGAGTTAAGACCTTTAAAAATACTCATTTTTAGAATGTTAAATTACAATTGTCTAAACCTCAAAAGCTATGAGATGGCATATTACTAAATATATATATATACTTAATATGTATATATTTTTAAGTAGTACCGAAAATGATTTTGCATACATTTTTACAGGAAATCAGGAAATAACTGCTAAAATGCACATTGTCTTAAAAGATCTCTTCACTGCTGAGAAAAGGAGTATCAAATTGACAGAATTATGCTAGCATAAACAAATGCCACATCACAATTATACAATTGGAAAGATAATTAGGCGAATTATTCTAGCTTTTGTTCACAGTTTCTTTTTCCATTCACCTTTTTCAGATGAGGAAATATGCACGACTTTCTTAGTGAAAAAGATTTTTCTCTGATTTATTAATTACAGCCTGCATACACACAGCGGTGTCTCAACACCATCTTTGCTTCTTTTTCTATATATTTTGCTGTGGCAAACACTGCCACATTCTCACATGTTTACAGCAGGTTTCGGATAAGCAGTTTACTTTTAGCTGAAGGTTTCCATGGAACTACAGTAGTATCACAATAATAATAGCTGTAATTTATGCACACTCAGAGCACCGCTCTGGATTAGCTAAAACTGTTTGGTATTCACTGCTTCGGCTATGCGTAACATCTCATCTCATCTTTTAAAATTTAAATAGTTCTGCTGTAACACCTTACAAAATCTTGGGGAAACAAACTGCAGGATTAAACACCATTACACATTTTGAAGATAAATCACTCGAAAGGCTACATGCCTTTTTACCAAGATGAGTTTCATATTTTACATGCTCTATATATCCATATTTATTTCTTTAAGTTCACAGCTGCCATAACCGAAAGCTGCAAAACAGTGCATTATTTTTAGATAAAGTTTATATAGCGCATCATTTAGCAGTTTATTCACCTTAATATAATATATGTTTTTCCATGTTCTCTACTTAAAACTTGGCAGATCAGAAGTATTGATTTCATGACAAGTTCAGCTCACTGGTCAGATGATTGCCAAGCCTCCTCTGCATGTGAATTCCCCAAAGCCTGCCTGTTGAGATGTACATCTGATTGAGCCATGCCTCAGTAATACGGCTTGACAACATGCAAGGAGTTGCCATGTTTCCTTTGCAGCCTTAATGCACTTTACGGAAAAATTTCCAAACTCAAGACTGGTTAGCAAGGGGAAACATTTAAGAGGTATATTCTAAAATGAAACCAAATGCTACTTTATAGCAGATACCCAATTGGAGGGTAAGCCGTTAAGTGCCCTAGAAACACTCAGGGCAGACTTTTTGCATTGCTAAAGATGGAACTTACCGTGGTAATCCTTGTATAATGGATTGGTTTCTCTCTCAGAGCCAATAAATGATTCAAGACCAACTACCATATCTGACAAGTTTGTTACACGTTCCATAATTGCTTTATTCTGTAAGACACGGAAACAAAATACACATCAGATGTGATGAAAAAGGTAATTAATGTTCATGGACTAAGCCTTGGTCTTCTCAATGACAAACTGTGGGGAAAAAATAGGTCATCAATACCTAGAAATTGCACTGAGGACTTTTCTTATTTTTTATTTAAAAAAATGGATGGGAATTTGTTTCTAAAGGAAAACATATTTGACACAAAGAAAACATAAAGGAGCCAACTTAGTACTAAATTCATCTTTTCCTAATCTTTGTAAGATAAGCGCTAGTTCATATTGGAGATATTTACAAGCTATGTGGCAGTTAAGCACCATACATCGATTGTACTGAGTCAGATGCCCAGCTTTTGTTTGTGTCTTGAAAACCTTGTTTCTTAAAACACTTAGACATATCTAGTATTTTGAGCATGCACAACCCACATGATTACTCATTTTGGTTATCAAACAGCACAGATTAAAAAGTAGGAACAAAGCATTTTCTCCAGTATTTCTCTTTCTAAAAGTTCCTCTCTACAAATCTGAATCTAAAGCTTCAAGTTGCATTACCATTTCTCAACGTATCTGTGATTTGTAAGTGCTTTGATAACGTCATGATTTAATAAGCAAAAGGAAGAAGAGACAAAACTGGGCTAAAAAGCAAAATACTTCTTTAAGATTCAAAACAGTTATGTTAGATCTGCCAGGACAGCTGGTGTACTCTTCTTCCTGATGGCTGTAGATGCTCTGCCCATCATATCTCCAGGGGTATCAAGTCCAATCACCTCAAAACACATCCATGCCAAGTACGAAGAATTAGCTCTGTAGCTCCAAGCTAGAATTTTGTATTTTTTGTTTATCTTAAAGTCTTTTGTACATTCTGAGCTTCCATTATTAAACTATATGACCAACAGTACAAAAGGTCAACTTAAATGCTGGTAAACCATTTGAAAACGACAATTTGCACAGTAATTGGGACCAGAGAGAAAAGGAACATCCCACGGTAATTTAGTAGAGTCTGTGCATTACACTGACATACTGGTTTGTTAAAATAGTGAATACACCAACTGCTTGCACGAGCCCACATTTCAACAATTTATCTCATCTCCTGGCCACAGAGAAGCCTGTAAGGCAGATACAGAAGGTGACCATTTCCTGCTCCCATCAAAGAGGATCTGAACTCTGTTTTTAGACCATTACACAAAGTAACTGTGGCCTGTCCTGCCCAGCCCAATCTGCTCAGGGTACAAGGCCTAAAGCCACCAATCCCCTGGTACCTCCACCACCCCCCTCTCCCCACCTTATGGGCCAGATGGCATTAAATCCTGTGGGCTGGTCTCTTTTCAAAGCTGCTACTTGTGCACAGGCCAAAATGGTCTATCCCTGTGGAATCAGGGAACTTCTATTTTACCTGCAAAGTCTAACAATGAATAATGATAAAATAACTTTGCTAAAGATTTTCCTTTCTGAGCAATAATGAAAGAGAATTGAGGTAAAAGAAAGTTGCCTCCACATCAAGCCTTAAACTTCATTATTTTTGTCCTAATTATATCTACCACTGAAATATTAAAGCTGACTTTCAAATTATTTCCTCTTTTGGGAAGCGAGGGAGAGCTTACTGTATTTTAATGGAAACTGTTGGTCACACTGATTTACTGGGGTAATCACATAAAGACGCTATAAATCTGAAGTAGCCAGTGATCTCTGCAGAACCACAGACTGGAAGTTACATTTTGCCAGTTCTGAAGCAGGTTCCTGAATGTTATTCATATAAGCAAGAAACACTAAACTGTTATATAATCAAACAGGTAAAATACTGATGATTTCTGGAAGCTAACTTGAACTCTTAATGTAGAAAAAAAAATTAGACCATTTGGAAAGAAGTTTGCTGTCCACTGATCTTTTTGCTTGCTGACTTTGACAAACAATGGCTACAAAAACTGTGGACAGAAGATGCTCAACCATCAGCACGGCACCTTCATCATTAAAAGTCCTGTAAACCGTAACAACAGCATTGTTCCTAGTCAATCCTAGTTCTGGAAAAATTAAAGTGAGGGACAGCAATTCAACCTAATGACACATAGGCGACAATTCAATATGTTGTTCAAAGCTCCTCTTCTGAACAAGTTTGCTTTCTTAAATTGTAGTCTGTTTGCCTCTGTTGATTTTGTTTTTGTTTTTAAAGTGTGTCAAAACACTCTCTGAGCTTCATGCAGCATATCTTGGGAAATACCTTCCACGATGAATTGCCACAACAAATAGACATTTGCTTATGTGGCATTGTTGTCATAGATCTGTATCTATCATGTATTTTCTAGTTTGCAGCATTCAGCACATTAATGCCCAATCAAAGCTGACGTCAGCACACAGATAGTTGTGATGTATGGCATACTGACATAAACACACAAATCATGTTGCCCCATCTGGGCTTGAAAATTTAACAGAGCTCCAGATCTTCCTCCAGCCCCATACAAATCTACCTCCTGCTTCTGGCATAAACTTGGCAGCTCTGGAGATGAGCCAGGACATGGTTAGGAGGGAAGCCAGGAATGGGGGGATTCAGGGAAAGAGTTTGTTGGCAGCTAGAAGAGGTATTGTTTTAAATAACATTAAAAATAAATTAAAAAAAGAAAAAGAAAATCCACCACCACCACCACCAAAACACAACCAACCTAATCCTGGAAAGTTTTCAGTCTTAGTAGACATACAGCAGTTTTTCTGTATTAGTTAGTTCAGCCAAAATATAATTATTCTAACAACATGGTAGCAACCCTGTTGTGCAGGCTGGGCTGAGCATTCATTCTATATCTTACTTAGTGCTCACTGCTTTAGACAGAAATTTTCTTTTAAGCTCAAACTTTTAGTATCTGAGCTCAAAGTGCACTTTCAAAACCCTGTTGGAAGGAAATCCATCTAGCTGCTTGTATATGTGAATGGGAACCATACATACCTCTTTAACCAGCTTTTAGAGAAAAGCAATTGTGGAAAAAGATTGCTTTGTTCTACTTATTTGCAGGATCTACAGAGCTTTAAGTAATTGTTTATGGATGTTTAAAAATATGTATTTACCAATAAACTAGTCTAAAATGTGTTATCTTCTGTGTCTGAGTGTAAATCACTGTATTCTACCAACACAAACACACAGAGAGCACGTTTGTGCAAACATACATACTGAAATTAATACTGTCTATTGCTTCTGGTTTGAGTTCTTAATGAATATCTTAATGAAGTATTATCATTACCACTATTTATCAAATCAACTTTGTTTCAGCTGGATTCCATATTAGAAAAAAAAAAAGTCTCGTTGCTTTGTCTGCTTCAATCTAACTTCTAGATCTCCACTCATTTGCTGTCAAAATTCTTCTAAAACCCAGAGATATGTCAGTTCATTTTTATTCTGTCAAATTCTAAAGAAATTTAAAAATCATAAAATTTATGTAATAGGAATATTTAAATTCTCAGTCCTTGTGCTACATTGAGTAGGCAAAAGTCTAAGAATAGAAAATTTTCTTAGAAGCAGCTCAATATTTCTACATAGTAAATACAAACAACCTCAAAATTTAAAAGAAAAACAAGATACTCATTACAGATCTACAATGAAACGCAACTAGCACCTGTTAAGCTTTAGAGTCACACAGATTTCATAAATTTCTATTATCATCAATACATTAATAAACAGACTTTTAATATTAAATTATATATTGAATTTAAAATTAGGTATTTTAAGACTGCCTTTTCTCAAACAGACATTAGGCCTATATTTTGGTAGTGAGGCTATATTTAATTCTGTACCTTAACCTTCTGGTAAACATTCTGATAAGGTAGTCCCATCACTGAATTTCTTTAAAAATGTTTAATTAAAAAATTTAATCCTAAAATGAGTTTCTTTATGTGAAAAACAAACAAACATACAACTAACTGCTAGTACTGGGACCAAAAAAAAGCACATTTGGATATATTCATTGCATACATTGCATACATTCCATATGACAGCACAGACTTCAGTGATTAATTCAGATACTCCACTTCTAGCGTAGAGAAACCTGTCACTGTCGTTCCCAACAGGTGAGTCCAGTAACCCTGACATTTCATTGAAGGGTATCAATAAAAAGCACCAAGTGAGCAAGTTTATACAAAGTGATGCCAACCTTGTGAACTTAAGGCAAATTTTGGTATACAATTTTTCAGAACAAACTCAAAAAATTGATGGTGACTTTTTTGCCTCTTTTAACTCTGCCATAACACTGAAGTAAGCTTAGTGTGGTAACATATGCAGCCACACTGGAATATAACAAAACACTGCTGCATATTCAATAGATGAAATAACTCTTGATATTTACCAAGAGATTAGCATACAATATGGTGGCAATGACTTCACAATATACAAATATTTACCATTAGTCATTGCTATGTAATCTCCAAAGGATTTTAAATTGAAAAGATAAATTATTAATATTAAAAGACATGGCTTATATAGTTATCACCATTTGTTATTAATTACTACTACTAAATTCACCGAACTACCCATACATTTTATCTTGGTAAAAGAAGTCAGGTATTAGGCCTTTGCACTAGTTTTACAGAGATATAGTTTGTGTGCTCCTTAATTATTCAAAAATTCTGAAAGTAAAAAATTAATAAATGTTCTACCAAAAACTAGTATCAGAAATTAACAAAGCCTGTAAAGTTTAAAATTCTAATACCCATCCTAACTCCAAGCTGATTAGCAGCACCATTTTCAGTGCTTGCACACACCAAACCTACTAACTGAACTTTGAATTTAGGCTGTAAAATCAATGTTTGTTCAGACCACTGAGTACAAGATGAGCAACGGTAGTTACATTAAAGAATTTTTGGTATGTAGAAAACTGTATCAATATCACAAGAAAACTGAATGCAGGTGTGATGTCTTTGCTAGAAGACGGATAACGCAGAAATATTCTTCAAGGATTTTCTACAACCTTCTAACACTTTCAGTGATGAGAAGTACACATGTAAGGATTCTAACAGAATCTCCTTTT